CCTTCGGCTCGCGGGCGAAGGCTGGCTCTATCTCCTGCCGCTCTTCGCCCTCTCATGCCGCAAATCCGCACAGAACCTTTGGCCATCTTCGGCCTGACTGGGTAGTCGAAGCCAATCTGGCGCCAATCTGGCAGGCCCAATCTGGCAAACGGGGGCAATCTGGCGAGGGAGCCAACGCGAATCCAGTCTGGCGAAGAACCCAAATCATCCAGTTTGGCCAGGCCAGATTGGCCCTTGGGGCCCAATCCAATCTGACAGTCTGGCCTTCGACTACCCAGCTTTGGCCATCTTCGGCCTGATGGGGCCGCCCCTGCTCGGAGCCGCCCACAGACAGGACACGCCACGAGACCCCGGGCCGCGCGGGACGGGGGCCGAGAGCGCCGGGGCCCGCGCCGTCTTCAGAACGGCCAGGGCGGCGGAGGTCTGCTGAAAGAGTGATCCAACTTTCGCTATGAAAGGAGGAGGAGGAGGAGGAGGAGGGGAAGGAGCCACAACCCTCCCCGAATGAGCAATTTTGGACCCCCTCGACCGGCCATGAAATGGCGGCCTTTTGCCAAGACCTCCCTGGAACCCTCCCAGCTGGCTCAAATCATCCCCCATGGATAAAACCGCCACCCTGTTCTGGTGAAGTGCGGAGTACCCCGACACCCGCAGACGTGGCTTTTGGATCTCCTCAGAGAGCCAGAGCGCTTGACCGTTTGCGCCCAGATCGTGCGGACGTCTCAAACGAAACGATGTTCTTGGTATCCACGGCTCCTCTCAGCTCAGGGTACCAAGACCACCCCGACGTAGCAGGCATGGCACTTTTGCACTCCGAGGGGGAGCCGCTGCGAAACGCTGTCGCCACAGGCTACAGCTCTCTCTCTCTCTCTCTCTCTCTCGTTCAGACATTCACAGCGGGAAATGCCAAGATATGATACTCCAGATTTCGTAAGAAAGGGAGGGGGGTCCCATTTCGGGGGGGGGGTCTCTTCCAGGCTATCTTGGAGGGCCTGGGGGGTCTGGGGACGATGTTTTGGAGGGTTCTCCCACGGGGGAGATCTGAAATGGCTTGTCTTGGAGGGTCCAGACCCCCTCCCTTTATTACGACATCTGGAGTATGCACATACGGGTATCTCCGCGCCGAGCTATTTCCAAAAAGATCGCGGTGATTTTGGCCCCTCCGCTCCAGGATCGACCCCTCGAGGCCTCTCTCTTGTGGCGCGCCGCGGCTGGAGCTCCCGGAGGAACCCCGCCGTGGCGGCGGCTGGCGTCCCAGGAGTCCCCCCAAGGTAGAAGAACAAATATGAAGGGACCCCAGGACACACAAATAAATACACACAAATGAAAATATTCCCCCCATATTTTCTCATATTTTCTAGGTTTGTGTTTTTCCCCCGCACTTCCCATATTTTCGCATATTTTCTGGGGAATCGAGGATTCATTGTGTCTGTGTTTTTCCCTCTCCTGAAAATATTCCGCATAAGCGTAACTTCTCCGAAATCTGCACGGATTTCTGGGTGACATTTTTGTTCCTCTTCCCTGGTGCCGGTCGTTACCCTTGTGGGGGGGGGGGGCTCGGGCGGGACGGCCGCGGCGTGCACCCGGCAGGGTGCGTCCGCGCCACCGACACATCAGTCGCCCGCGTGCACCACGCCATGCCTGTGAGCGCCACAACACGTTTGTGAGCACCAGAACATGCCTCTCAACACCACGCCGCGCCTGTGAGCACAGCGCCACACCTGTTGGTGGGTCCGTCCCCCGGCATGGTGCGATCGCTAGCGCTACCGAGGTGTGCATGGGGGTGTTGGCCCGGGCAACGAGCGTTTTCCTGGATCCCCTCCCTGGCGCGCGGAACGCGTCAGGGGCGGCGCCAGGCGCCGCCAGGGGGGCCCATTGCAGATCCAAGAGATTCGCGTGGAGCTCCGACTGTTCCTGTGGAAATGCAAGCGGTCTTTTCCTCGGCGGATAGGAGGGGATGGGGGCCAGGTCCATCGGAATCAGAAGGAAGGGGTGATGCTGGGAGCGCCGAACATTTATGCATCTACTTTTTTGTTCGCCGGCAAATGCCAAGGACTCAAAACTCCTTACACGACAAACGCATTCGGGAGCGGCCAAGAGGGGGGTGTCCAAGAGGGGGGGGCAAATCATGACCGGCGGCACGTGCGCGGCCCAGCGGGGGGGCCAGGGACGTAATGAAATAAGAAAAGGCGCCATGAAATCAGGGGAAATATCATGCCCCCCGCCATGATATCCACTCCCCCCTAGTCATCGCCCCCCTCTTTTCCGCCCCCGACGCATGTTCACCACGTCGGATCTCGAGGGCCGGGCGCGCAAGGGGGCGGCTGACGAGCGGGGCGTGCTCCGAAGGGGGGCCAAAGGGGAAACCGCTCCGCGACGCGCGGGCCGATCCGCGGCGCCTCCTGGTGCGGAGCTGCACCAGGGCGGTCTCCGACTCCAAGATGGACAGCGCCTGCTGGAGCCCCGCGATCTCAGCCTCGCTCCGTGGGTGAGGGGGCAAGACAAGACAAGAGACAAGAGCCAGCGTCGAGGCACCTACGAAGGTGCGGCGGGAGGGCGCCGGGGCGCCGGAATAGGCTGGCCGCTCAAAAGCCGGGGTCGGGGATGGCAGCCGGGTCGGACAAATGGGAGTGGGTGGGAGGGCGGGGGCGCCCAAACATGGATGAGCGATCCATGGATTTGGCGCGCGGTCGCCAGATCCATGGATCGGGGGAGGTGCCCTCCCCAAAATGCGGCCGGTGCCGCCTCGCTCGGCGGCGGAAATCCGAGATTTCCAGAATGGAAACGGGACACGTCGCTAATCGATGGCCCCTCACTCCATGTTGATCACCTGAGGTGGTGGGCGGGGGTGGCGACGAGCTGAGCTGCCTCTGTGTTTGACGTCCCCCGCCAAGAGGCACGGAGTGAAGTCGAAGGAAGGATACTGAAGGGGCCCAAGGGCACATAAATAAATACATACACGCGCACATTTCAGGACCCCTTTACACTTGTTCTGTATTGTTTCTGAAATTTTTGTCTTCCCCCCACTTCCCAGACTTTCGCAGACCTGCAGGAAGCGACGACTGATTGTGTCTGTGTGTATATTTGTCCCCTCCTGAGATATGGCTATGTTGTTCCCATCCTACTTAAGGGCCGCCTCCCACAAGTAACATTCGAACGCCCCGAGAAGTGTCAAAAGAGTGTCGACACAGTGTCGGGCGAGTGTCTCCCAGGGCCCGACACGTGAAAACCCTTGAGCTTCGGTACCTTTGTTGGGGCGCTCGAAACTCTTCCTGGTGAGCAAGGCTAAAGTAGGTTGGAACATCATAAAGACATGGCCCAGAACCAACGGTTCTGGACCAGAACCAACGTCATGAACACTTTTTAGTCAACGGCCGCGGGCGAGCGCGCCGGCGGCGAATCAGGTCAAAGCGGGCCACGCAGCGACGAATTAAGCGAAGACAGCGGGGGCAGGCCACGTCTAACGCAGCTAGCCGAGGCCTCACGCGGCGGCCCAGCGGCGGGCGGGGGGCAGGGGTGACTGAGACTGAATCAAACTGCCAGCGTGCAAGTATGCAGGGCGTCGGAAGCACCAGGAAGTCGGGATAAACGACGACCATGGTCATGAACACGTGCAGACCCGCGGCCCCGCGGTCTGGACCCCTCGGCCGCCGCCAGGGTACGGCGCGGCCCTGCGCGGAGAGGCCCCGCGGGGAGCACCCCAACACGGCGCCGCGCGCACCCTCCCCCGGGATCTCGCGGCCCCGTGCCCTCGCCGCGAGGGCACGGAGGTGGGCATGTGCTTCCTATAGGGCTCCCAACTTCGCGCTACCGCGCTCCGATAGCGCGAAGAACTTCGCGCTGTCGCGCCGCCCCCCCAAAGGGAGAAGAGGAGGACGAGGAGGAGGGGGAGAAGGAACGAGGACCGCGAGGAGCGCGAAGCGCGAAGAACTTCGCGCCCTCGTGGGAGCCCTTGTGCTTCGGTCATGGTCGCCGACGCGGCAGGATCAAATACCGAGGTGTGTGGGCGCCACTCTGCTTGAGCCTCTGCGGGCGTTTGGGGGCGCCTCCAGACGCCCCCGGGAGAGGACCCTGGGTGGTTCCAACCGGGAACGCCCGGAGACCTCGCTGGCCAAGACACCGGGCGCCGCGACAATTCGGTGCTTGCGATTCCTGCATGTTTCCCCAGCAAGTTTTAAGTCGGGAAGGTCCTCCTACAGGCGATTTTTGAAAGAAACATTAGAATATACATAGTCACACAATACTTTTTCGCATGCAATGAAAAGCTCTTGAAACATACTCAAAAAAACGTGCCAGAACAAATACGCCCAAACAAAAACAAAGATGCCTGCTGGAGGGCGCCCCAAACTTGCTGCAAGTTTTGGTCGGGCGTTGGCAGAACTAGGTTTAGTGGAACCTGGTTTAGTGGTTTGTACCAGGGGCGCCCCCCCGTCGCATTTCCACTAACCGGAACTGCCGTCACCCGAAAAAACACCAGCTATATGGCAAACCTGGTTTAGTGATCCTGGCCACTTCAAAGGCTCCGGGGCCCTACCACTAACCGGGTCTAAAACAGGGCTAGGATCGGGATAAATCGCTCCAGAGCGTTCCGGAGCGCTCTCAGAGCGTTCCGGAACGCTCTGGAGCGGCCGCGGCGCCCATATACATATATAATAGATATATATATATATATATATTGTATATATATATTATATATCTATGTATGATATATATAATATCTTATAATATATATATTATATTATCCTCCAAACTCGCCGATTCTCAGAGATTTCGAGTTATCCCGATCCGATTTTGTCCCGATCTTCGCGTCGTTTCAGGGTCCCCTTACCTGGGGTCCTGGCCATGCCCGATCTGGGCGCCCTGGAGGCGGCGTGCGCTCTGGAGTAAAGGGGCCCCAGGACATACAAATAAATACACACAACTAAAAATATTCCCCATATTTCGCATATTTTCTGGGTTTTTGTCTTCCCCCCCCACATCCCACATTTTCGTATATTTTCCTGGGAATGGACGATTCAGTGTGTCTGCGTGTTTTTTCCCCTCCTGATGGAGGCGCGCGCCCCCCGCAAACGCTCCGCGCGTGGGGGCGCCCCGCAGCGTGCCGCGTCCCGCCCGGCGGGGGGCGCCCGCGGTGCAGCGTGCGGCGCCCCGCCGGCCCCCTCGGGTCGGGCGAAAAGGAGGGCAATACACACAAATAAAAAGGTTCCCCATATTTTCCCATATTTTCTGGGTTTTTGCCCCCCAATTCCCATATTTTCCAATATTTTCTGAGTTTTTGTCTTCCCTTCCAATTCCCATGTTTTCCAATATCTTCTGGATTTTTGTCTTCCCTCCCAATTCCCATATTTTCTGGGTTTTTGTCTTCCCCCCCAATTCCCGTGTTTTCCCATATTTTCTGGGTTTTTGTCTGCCCCCCCAATTCCCATATTTTCCTATATTTTCTTGGGAGTCGACGATTCATTGTGTCTGTGTGTCTCTTTCCCTCCTGAGAAAGGGGGGTATAGCAAAGGGGCAAAAGGGGGGTTTGAGAATCCGCTCACGCAGCTGATGTTCCCGGCGCCTCCCCGCGCCCCTGCGTCGAGGAGTGGGCCCCTCGGTGGGGCCGAAGCCAGCGGCAGGCAGCAGATTCCGTACCCCCCCCCTCCCCCCAAACCCCCTCCTCTCCTCCGGCCTGAGCCCCCTCGCGCCGCTGGCGCTGGGTAGTCTGGCGCCAATCTGGCGCCAGTCTGGCAGGCCCCATCTGGCAAACGGGGGCCACCTGGCGAGGTCGCCAACGCGAATCCAGTCTGGCGAATATTAACGGGCGAAGAACGGTATGAAATAAACTTTTTCGCCGTCGGGGACACCTGCCCCAGGGCGGCTGGAAAGTTTATACCCTTACGGTGGCACCGTAGGGGTATAAACTTTCCAGCCGCCCTGGGGCAGGTGTCCCCGACGGCGAAAAAGTTTACTTTATACCGTTCTTCGCCCGTTAAGAATAACCCAAATCATCCAGTCTGGCCAGGCCAGATTGGCCCTGGGGCGCCATCCAATCTGACAGCCTGGCCTTCGACGACCCCAGGCTGGCGGCGGGGCTCCGAGGGCCCCGCGCGCCGGCGCGCGCCGCGCCGCCGACCGGAGTCGCTCGGGCGCCACCGCCGGGAGCGGGCGGGTCCCGAGGGAAGCGGGTCCTGGACCAGGGATAAAACGACGCGAAGATCGGGACAAAATCGGATCGGGATAACTCGAAATCTCTGAGAACTGGCGGGTTTGGAGGATGTATTGGGCGCCGCGGCCGCTCCAGAGCGTTCGGGAACGCTCTGAGAGCGCTCCGGAACGCTCTGGAGCGATGTATCCCGATCCTAGCCCTATTTTAAAGGGGCCTTCCCAGCGGGTCGGCCCCAAAAGGGGTTCCAACGCAAAGGGGGTGGTGCAATAGGTCTGGGGCAGCTGTGTTGCGAGTGTCCTGCGCAGGAGAACTGCGCTGCCTCGCGCTGCAACTCCTGTGTTGCACGCGAAGGTCCGGCAATACATTTGCGCACCGGAATGTATTGCACGCCCCGAACCGACTGTAGCCCCGCAAATGTATTGCACCGAATTTGTTGCACCAGCCCCTCTGCGCTGTACACTCCTTTCTGGGTCAAGAGCCCGAAAACGGCGAAACGCCTCCAGATCCTTTTTCCCCCCATGGCGACGGGTAGGATTGTGGATGCCACGACAATGGACACCTTAACAGTCCTAGCATTGAATTTCAGATGTGTTACACATGTCGGAAGAACGTCATGAGCACGTCTTGAACATGTTTTCTTACATGTTCAAGCCCGTCTTAACACATGTTTTGGGTATCTGGAAAGTGTTTGGCAGCATGCTTCCTCTCCATTGATCGTCCCCCACTCGGCGGTGGACAAACCTCCCTCGAGTATACCTCCCCTTCGTGCAAACGACCTGGGACCGAAGCCGACGGACCTGGACCCGCAAAATAATGACGGCCGCGACGCCCTCTCGCGAACCCGAAACGGCCAATTCGCTAATCGACGTGGCGGGGTATGCGGGACGGGGAAATGACCACAGCCACTGCTTCTTGTTTGCGCCGCCTTCCAGCCGGCCGAAAAAGAAGCAGTGGCTGTGGTCATTTCCCTGGTGCCAAGCTTAACGAAAATGACCACAACCACTGCTTTGATTCTGCTGGCTGGAAGGCGGCAACAGAAGAAAAGCAGTGGCTGTGGTCGTTTTCGCGTCCCGTAGGGTAGGAGGTCTATCCACCTCCCCCACAAGGGGCGACGGGCAGGGGCGAGGGCGCGGCGCCGCCGCGCGGCCCTCCCTCGGGCCGCGCCGCGCGCCCCCAGCGCCCGCTGGGCAGCGCGGCCCCCTCGCGCCTCCCGCGCGCCTCCCACGGCGCCCGCGGCGGCTGCCGCGCGCGGGCCCCGAGGAGGAGGAGGAGGGGGAGGTAGGATAGGACAGCCCCGAGGTGAGGATTGGGGAGGAGGAGTATGAGGG